GAGGAGGCGTCCCCTTGGGCATCTGCACGCAGCAGGGGTGGGGGCTGCTTATCTTGGGAAGACAGGAGGGTGGTCTCCGTGCAGCTGGGACTGGCCTTTTCCCAGTCAGAAAGGAGGGTGGGTGGTGAGGGTGGTAGGACTGGGAGGCCCTGCCCTGAACATGGGCTCACATCTCAGAAAGGAGGCGGCCAAGGAGGAACGGCAGGAGGCTGCGCCAGGAGCACGCCGACAGCTGTGTGCTGAGCAGTGATGACGAGGAGCTGCCCAGGGACAAGGACGTGTATGTGACCACCCACACCCCCAGAAACGCCCGGGAGGAGGCCGCTACTGGACTCAGGTACCAGCGTGCCCGCTGCTCTGCTGCTGCCGTGCTGGGGACAGGCTCTCTGCCGGGAAGCTTCTGGATCCGTGGGACCCCATTGTCCCTGGTGTGAGGAGCCTCTTCCGTCCTCTCCATATTTCAGTGGAGAGGTTGGGGCAGGAAGCAGGGTATTAGAGACACTGACCTTCAGCCGTGGGCTCAAGAAGGGCTCGTTGTAGCATCTGGGTGGCAGGTGGATCTGGAGCTGGGCTCAGCTGTTCGCACTGTGACCAGGGCGTGCCAGGCACTGGCTGGGCGGGTGTGAATAGCTCCAGGCTGGAGGCAAGCCCCACCACCTGGGGTGGAGAACAGACCCAGCAGCCCCCGGCCTTCTGCAACAGGAATGCTTGGAGGAAGAGGGTGCTAGGCGCAGCCCCTGCCCCAGACAGGGAGGCTGGAAGGGGGCTCTGAGGGAGCATAGGCCAGAGGTGCAGGGCGGGGACAGGGCGACTCCAGTTGCCTGCACCTTCTCTTGCCCCCATCTCTTTCCTCCCCTTTCTCATAGCCTCCCCCACCCCCCATCGGGACAGCCGGCCATCTTGTAAGTGTCCCGGGTGCCTGTGCTAAGGCAGGGTCAGAGGAGGCTCTTGTGAGGGGATGTGGGCTGCTTACATGAAGCCACTTAAGAGTAATTGATGTTTGCGTTTGCTGAGGAACTGACATGAGCACTGTGATTTTAGGCCCTCTGGTACTGTCAGTTGTCCCATCTGCATGGACGGGTACTCGGAGGTAAGCAAACTTAGCTGTGTCTTCCCTGATTCTGGTTCTCAAACTGCTTCAGTGAAAGAATTAGATGAGAGAGCACTCCTCACTGGGTGGGCTTTTGATGTCTCTGTTTTGCAGTCACGCTTGGGTTGGCACATGGCTTGGCACACCTCTGTGAAGGGGGAGGGTACCATCTTCTTGCGCCCTACAGTCTTGAACTCTGGGCTGCCCTGTGCAAGTGCATCAGTCCTGTGTATTCCCTACCTGGCCTAATTGGAAGCTGCTAGTGTTCACTGTGGCCCCAGGCCCTAGGGCACTGCCCCACTGGGTGCCTGGAGGTCCATCAAACCCCCTTGGGCTGTCGCTGCCGGAGACTGGCTGCTGCCTCTGCTCTCGGCTTCAGAGACACCGCTCACACTTGCCTGAGCCTACAGAGCAGCATCTTTAGTTCTCCAGACCATCTCCCTGCTTTTCCTGCTGCAGCCCTTGGCCCCCCTCCTCTCATTCGGCATCTTAGAGACGGGCGGGAGTGGATTCTCTGGGGGCTCCCGCTGCTCTGGTACAAGGCCAGACGTGAAGCCTGTTCTTTTTTATGTTTTCTAGATTGTGCAGAATGGACGTCTCATTGTTTCTACAGAATGTGGCCACGTCTTCTGTAGCCAGTGCCTCCGTGATTCCCTTAAGAATGCTAACACTTGCCCAACTTGCAGGAAAAAGATCAGCCACAAGCGGTACCACCCCATTTATATATGAAGTGCTGGGCTGCTCGGGAGACGGATGGACAGACAGAGCCTGACGGGGTTCTCTACGGCCTTACGTGGGCTATCTGCCGCCAGTTTCTTGAGCTCAGAAAGACTGTTTCAGAATCAGCGTCTGTAATGTAACCTGCTCTCTTGTTTCCCGCCCCGTCTGTGATCCTTTTGTTACCTCTAGTCTGATGTTGTGGAGCTGGGCCCAGGGCCCTCCCAGCCCAGGGTCTACATCTGCTCCTCTGGGTGGTCTGGTTCCAGGCAAGGAGAGAGGGAGTCAGGCCCGTTGGAATTGAGAATTGTGGTTCCAGCCTCTTTCCGGAACCTGCACGTTTGCCAAGAAGTTTTCCCCGTTTGGAAAGTTTGCCCCAGCTTCCTGCTGGCAGTGTGTCTGGCCCCGGTCGGAGAGCAAACAGGTCCGCCCAGCTCTCCTGGGCACGCTACCTCCTCCCAGGCATCTGCCCACCACAGTGGCCAAGCCAGACGAGGTCCATCTGGCCTGAGGATCCCAGGTGCAAGCATGGCCCCGGAAAGACCAACCACTGGACTTTTTTTTCTTCCCTTGAGTTTCAGAGGTCACCCGTGATTCCACCTGCGTTGATGTCGGGTTCCTGCAGATTACAAGGACCTCTGCAGGGCAATCCCCAGTTTTCTAAGAACGAAATGTGCAATAAAGCCTGTTCTTTGCCTACGTTTCAGCAGCCCAGGAGATGTAGCACTATTAGTGTCCTTCAGAGGCCTCATGTCGCCTACAGAGCAGTGCCTGTCTCGCCCCGTCTGGTTCACCACCTGTTCTCAGGAACCTTACCTATGCCCGAGTTCACCTGGCGCAGGCTGTGCAAGGTCAATGGGGCAGGCACGTCGTCGAGTATCCTCTCTTTTCTGATAAAAATCCATCCTTTGTTTACCACGTGCCCTCCGGTCCTCAGTTCCCACTGCCTCATGTCTACTCAAGCATAGACCCTGGGCGGTGGTGGCAGTAATTGTGGCCTTATTAGCCACCCGTGTCCATGCTGTTGCCCAAGTCACAGCTGACCTGCGTTTCAAAGACCTCGGCTCCCCAGACGTGAGCTGGGCAACCCCCACCCCTGCAACTGACATTCATTTCCAAAGCTGCTCTTCTGGCCACTGGGCTTTGATCCTTTGGGCTTTGATTGCTCCTTAGGTTTTGGTTGGCAAAGTATGGTGGCCTCTCCTCCCCAGGGGCCCAGATAACACCCTCTGCTCACCTCCAAGTGGGTAAAAGCCTCTGGTCTCAAGGAGGCGGAAGGTGGCCCGAGCTGACCTGAGCTGCCCCCTGCTGCACAGGGCTTGCCTCCACCTCTGTACCCCTCCTTCCTCCGAGGCCTTCAAGCCAAACCAACAGCCTTTTCGTGTGAAACATCTTCGAGGTGGAAAAGGGGCCGCCTCTGGCTTTGCTAGCAATAACTGACCTTCAGTTTCTCCTTCTGGAGGAGCAGGGACTCAGCACAGAATTCACTTTAAATGGGGCTGAAGGAGTATCCCTCCTCTATGTGAAAAGAATTGTTTCATTCTTCATTCTGACTTTTTAACTGTTTGGCTCACTTCCGGTTCGTTTGATGAAAGTACTGCTTTCTACTTGGAGTCGAGGAGGGCTGACATCAGTTGTCATCTGCGTGGTGTGCAGCGTGTCTGCCCTTCGATTGGACATCGTTGCCATTAAGTTCCTTCTGGGCTTCATGGGATCTCTTTTCTTATGTTCTGACAATACCCGGACTTCAGGAGCCAAGACAACTGCAGCCAAAATTTCTCACGTTTTATGCTTAAGGACAAATGGTTGATCGTAAAAGCTGTATTCCTTCATACTAACTTAAGTTGGGAAAAAACGTTTAGTTTCTACTGTTCAGAAGTTGCAAAACAGGAAAAGGTTGATACGAAAAATCCTTTCCCTCCCTCCGTGTACATAGTTCACATCTTCTTTCTTACACTTAAACTATATCCATGTATGTCAGTCTGTTTTGGACTCTCCTCTGCTAGTGTTACAGGTGGAAATAAACCAGTTTGAACCAGGTATCTCGTTTGTGCATTCATTTGCTCTTTTGCATCAATATCACCCCCCACCCTTGCCCAAGGTGTGTGATTCCTGTCTGCCTCATGTTTGGTGTATTTTGTGACAGTATGTGCGCAAGAAGGTTGCCTGGTCATCTGCTGACCCCGAAGCCAGCAGGTAAGAGGTCATCCTTGGAGCAGAACCCCAAGTCCAGGCCCTGGAATCCCTAAACGAGCAGAATCTTAACCTCAGGCCTGAAGAAGCGAGGTTGGCTGCGGGCTGTCTGCTCAGTCTGGCCGGTGGCAGCTCAGGAGAGGAGCTCTGAGCAGTGTGGACTCGGACTGACCTGGGGTCCTGGCAGTGCAGCGCACCTGCCCCAACCACTGTATACAGTTTGCCCTCCGCGTGGGAGTGGGGGCCCAGGAGTGCATGGCGGGCCTGTTAGAGCCCCAAGCAAGCTGTGTGGGGAAAGCTGAAAAGACGGCATGGGCTTGGCTTACTTCCCAGAGAGTAAGTGATGGCCAAGCTGGCCTGTGCCTGCCTGGTCTCCACTCCCGTCAAGTGGTCCCCAGAGACAGAACAGGCTAATGTGCTGGGTGCTTGGGGGCACAGAGGTGCGAAACTTCAGACGCCTGCCTGCCTTCTGTTGGAGACCACCAGAGACAAAAAATGCAGTTATTCAAATGCTTATTGCACATTTGCCATGCTCCTGGTACCACGCTTGGCTTGGTGGGTATTGAGAAACCCAAGTGCGACCCTGCCCTGCTAGGCTGTACATCATGGAGGGAGACAGTCCCCCAGGCCAATGGAAAATAAAACTGGCAAAGGTGAGGTACGGGAGTCCAAGAGAACAGGAAGGGATGCTCAGCTGTGCTCCTCAAGGCCTGAAGCTTGTCTAGGTAGAGAGAAGAGGAAAAGGTCCTTGAGTGCAGATCCCGGGCCTGGCGCCCTCCCAGCGTACAGGCCTCCCGAGGCCTGAGGGTGTGATTGACCCGACACTTCCTTGGTGGCCACCCTAGACCAGTGGTGTCCTGAAGCCAGGAGCCAGGTGAGGCCTCCATCCCCGGCAAGCCCAGGCAGGAGAGGAGAGGCCCATGAAGGGCGGGGGGCGTGCGCCACGGGCGTGTGCTGGCAGAGCGCGTCCCCCAGAGCTGGCTGCAGGGGCGGCTTGTTTCTAGGTTTCTTAAGTTTCGAAACTTAAGTGGCCTCTTAACTACCTGTTTTTGTTGTTGCCATATGGAAATTTAATTGGTTTTGTAAATTGTGTAAGCATTCTTGCCAAAGTCTCATTCTAATTAAGAATCTGGATTCTGTTAAATTCTGTACGTTTCACAGCCATATCATCTGCAATGAAATGTTCTAATTCTTGGAACTTTCTTTTTCTTTATGAACTTGTTAGATAACAGGTAACAGGTTCCTTTTCCAACCACGAGATAGGAGCTTGTATTTTATTTTTGTTTTATTTTGTCACAAGGGATCTATCACCTTATTGGTTCTTTTTCTGCTTCCACTGAGACATAGGATTTTCCCCCTTTAGATCAGTTAATGTAGTTGTATCACTGTGATTCTTTTTCAGTGCACACCAGCATATTTCATGGGTAAATCTACTTTGTTCATGATGTTTTATCTTACACATTTCTTACTTTGTTTTGCCAGTATTTGGTTTAGGGTTTCTAAATATCCATGTTCATGAGTTATATTGACCTATCGTTTTCTTACACTGTCTTTGTCAGGTTTTGGTTTCAAAGTAAGTTCCCTACAGTGAGACTAAGGAGAATTGTCTCTATACCCTGGATTCGAATTATTTGTTCCCTGAATGTTTAGTAGAACTCAGCAGTAAAATTTCTGGGCTATTATTTTTATTAAGGAAAGATTTTAAAATACTGATTTGATTTTTTAATGTTTGCAAATTATTCACATTTAAGTCAGTTAAGTTACAGGTTTCTGGGAATTTGTGTATTTCATCTCGTTACAAGTCTTTGGTATAAAGTTCAAAATATTCTTTTGTAAGCTAATTAGTCTCTGCAGCATCTTTTTATCATTAATACTAATTTATGCTTTCCGTTTTAATCAGTTTTAGAGATTTGTCTGTTTCATATTCTATTTATGTTACTTCCAGTACCCAAGGTCTTTGTGGGTCTAATTCTGAGGCCTTTTATTCCGGCTGGCTCTCACTAATGATGACTTCCTTCTTTGTGTGTTTTGTAAACTTTTTTCTCCCCTACTTTGAACCCAGGTAATTTGGTAACTATCTGAAAATTCTTTGAGACCTGAATTGAAGGTGGGTTCCTCCAGAAAGTATTTACCCTTGCTTTTTTTTTTACCCTTGCTTTTATGAGGTGTTTAAGGCTTAGTTACCAACTCAAGGCCACTGTATTTATCTTTTATACTGTGAAATATACCACACAAAAAGCACACCTCACTGAATTACTTCAAAAGTACAGTTCAGTGAATTACCATAAAGCAAAGGCCTGTGAAACAACCAACTGCAACAAGAAACTATTACCAACACCTTAGAATCCCCTTCTTGTCCTCCCTCCTGGTCAGTACAGTCTGCCTTTTCCTCCAAGGTAATCGCTATTCTGATTTTTATGAAAATCACTCCTTTAACTATAATTATAGTTTAATTACCAAAACACAATCCTAATCACGTACTTTACTTTTGCCTATTCTTTGCCCTTTAAACAGATGGAATAGGGGACTTGCTGGTGGTCCAGTGGTTAAGACTCTGTACTTCCACTGCAGGGGGCACAGGTTCAATCCCTGGTCAGGGAACTAAGATCCTGCATACCGCACGGTGTGGCCAAATTAAAAAATAAATAGATGGAATCACTCAAATGTGTATTTTGTGGAGGCGGGGGGTGGCTTCTGTTGCTCAATATTTGTGAGATTCGTGTTGTGTAGTTTGTTCATTTTCCGTGCTGTATAGTATTTCATTAGATGACTATGCTTCAGTTTATCCATTCTTTCATTAATTTATGTTTTTTGCTATT